TGATTGATTAATGGGTTACATTGCAAGGTCTTATTGCAACAGGTACAAACAACTAGGAGGTGCAGTAAAGTAGAATTCACAGGTAAACTCATTAGATTTGACAAAAGGTGCTGGGACTGGGGACAAGTCCTGTCAAGCTAAGCTGCAGAACCATCTGGAAAGTACAAGATACAGGACTGGGAGTAAAACCAGTAAGAAAACTGTGGGCACTTCTTTGATGTGTTTCAACTCCCACTGGTGAGCATGAGAACCAGGACTGGGGATGGGCCTAGCTAGACAGACAGTGACACCGAAGGCTTGGGTATGTGCTGGATAGTGGGGTTGGTTTAGTGGAGCTAGGCGTCAATGTCCATTTATGAGCACAAGAGCTGCTTGGGATGTGGAACAGACTGCATCAGTCCATTGCACATACTGGGAAGCACAGGAACCATGGCAGCGGGCAAACGTAGTGGGTGTTTTTAGGGTATTCCCAACTAGGCTGCAGTTCCTGCTGGTGTACATGAGGGCCAAATATGTGGTGGGCAGGGTTGAGCTGTGACACAGCATTCATTGGCTTACATAAGAGACAAGGATGGAATCACAGCTGACTCAGTAACTGCAATTACCAGTGTGTGCACAGGCTGATGTGGGTAACAGACAGATGCAGACCCCATATTGGCAAATACACTCAAAAGTCTCAAAAGTCAGTTCTGGGATCACTTCAAATAAAGCTTCTTTGGGGATCCTCCTGACTAAACTTCTGGACACAGAACTCCAACCAGAGGCAGAATCGCAGGATCTGTGGTCTGACCATAGAGTGCAGGTGTCAGAACTGGGCCCCCTCAGAGCCTTAGGTGGAGCAGTGATCAGCATACCCAGATGGACATGGAAGATATGGCAGTCTACTGGGACCTGCAAAGGACATCTGGTACCACAGCAGAGGAAGGAGGGCAGAACAAATTGGCCAACTACTCCAGTCAAGCACTGACAGTCAAATATCCAGGCGAATGGAGACTCTAAGGTGCACCATGTCAGCCAGTGGACTTTGAAAGGATTTTCTGATCCTTGGATTGACAAGATTGACAGCATCTCGGTACTATCAAAACTACTTGAGCAAAGCCCTGGAGCATACTTCACATCGGGGACCCTGGGATGACATTGGGTGGCCATTCCCCATCCTAGGGGACAAGTGATTGAGGGGCTGGGTATGGCTTCTCCCCTTACCTCCCCTCTTTCTCTAGATACAAGAAGAAAAAGAAAATTTAGAAACAATGGTCTCACTCACGTTCCCCTAATCCCTGGCCCTTCCCATCCTAATCAACTATGTAAACATCATCAAAAATATAGACTTTTTTAAAGTGGAGCAACTGGAACTCAAACTGACCCCAAAATGGGATGTTGGAATTGTAGACAGAGGTTTTACTTATCACACCTCAGTGCAGGCTCCTGGGGGGGGTGGGGGTGTGTGTGCTTTAATATTATTTATTTGAAAGGCGGAATGGTATACAGAAGACAGATAATGAGCAACAGAATCTTCTGTCTACTGGTTCACTGCTCAAATGGCCATAATGCCCAGGACTGAGCCAGGCCTAAGACAAGAACATTGAACTCCATCTGAGCATGTGGTATGGATACAGGGGCACAAGCATTTGAGCTAACTTCTGCTGCTTTCCCGGGCACATCAGCAGGGAGCTGGATCAAAACCAGAGTAGCTAGGACTTGAACCTGCACTGTGATGCAGAATGCTGGCATTGCAAGAAGATGCTTAACCTGCAGCACCAAAGCAATATCCCGCTAAAGAGGCACAGTTTTTTTTAAATGCCCAAGGAAGGGTTGGTATCTTCGCAAATATATTAAGTTCCAGTTAGTATTGCATTCCAATAAGGGTGCCAGATCCAGTTCCTGTTGCTCCACTTCCAATCGGTCTCTCTGCTAAAATGTCTGGGATAGTAGAAAAGGTGGCTCATGACGTTGGACCCCACACCTAACATGGGAGGATCCAGAAGCTCCTTACTCAAGGTTTTGGACCAGCACATCTCCAGCTATTGCAGCTATCTGGGCAGCAAACCAACAGATGAAAGCTCTCTCTCTTTCTCTCTCTTAACTTGATTACAATGGAGAAGAAGTTGTTCAGGAAAAGCACAGATACTTGGGATTTTGCTAGTGGAGAGAGATGGGGTATGCCATCAGTAACGGACTGAGTAGAAGTGTCTTTTGACAATTAGAGGAAGCCAACGATCTGAGCTTCTGGTGAGGACCACCACAGATAGTTCTGACGCTCAGGGCACAGTGGTGGAGAGCGACAGATGCTGGAAGGAGGCGCAGGAAGACATGTTTCCAGAAGCAATGTTCAGAGCCCCTCTTTACTCATGATGATGGATTCCAAAATGAGATGGGACAGTGGTACTACAACCATAGAGGATTTCTTCACCTTGCTCATTCCAGTTTCATGTCAGCACCCTATACTGTCTTCTTTTCCATATTAGATCATGAGCTCTGGAGTTACAAATCATGGTCTTTTGAAACTGCCTGTTGGTGGCCAGTTTTACGTTACTCAGTAAGTATTTGTGTAAAGAACAATTGAATATTTCTTGCTAGCTAGAAGAAGTGATTCCTAAAGAGCAATTATTCACTACTCAGTCTTTGAGGAAACCTGTTGAGCTACCCAACTTCTACAGTTTTTCTAAGTCTCGTTTTAGAAAACAGAGTGCTGTTCACAGAAAGCTGTCATTTGGCAAGATTGCTGGAAAGACCAAAGCCCTTCCTGGACTGCATGATATTTTTCTGGAGAAGGAAAGAATCCAAACAACAAGCCAGAGTGTCATTTTCCAAGCACACCTGCTATGTTTTGGATGGGAGGGAGGGATCTGCCAAACATCTCAGAGCTTGTGAACAGGTGACGAAAGTGATTGTCTTGCTTATAAGCAAAAACTTGGCAGTCTTAGAAATCAATGTTAGCACCAGGTGCGAGCTGGCCTGTGTACTCCTAGGAGTTAACGACATGGAACTAATAGATTTGATAGGGAGGTAGGATTGTGGTAAGGAAATCGTTAAACTTGGAAACAGTTTTGGAATCAGATATTTAGCAAGTGTGTGACCAAACAATTGGTCCTTATCAGATGTGACCACCATCAACTCTACCATCTGGACCTTACCAAGCCAAACCCACTGTGGCTAGACTGAAAGTTGGTGACTCAGAAAGTTTCTGAGCCCATCAGTCTGCCTAAAAATGTTAATGCCCTTCAGTTTTTTTTCAAAAACGCAAATCTAATCACACAGTTCCTTTGCTTAAAGCCATTTGTGCCATACTGTTCTCCTTACCCTGATCCCTGAATCTCCTCAGATGTAAATCAAACAACCTTTCCACCACTTCTCCTTCCTTTCTTTCACTACTTTCCCTCCAACTCTTTATATTCTAACAAATTCAGACTTCTTTTCATTCCCAGAATATTCACAGCCACTGTTGCCCCGACAACTTCAGAAGTGCTGTTAAACTTCTCCACCAGCATACTCTAAAATCTTAACCTAAACAGCACTTACTCAGAAAAGTATTCTTTGCTTCTCAATGAATTAAATGTATGCTGATTCTCATACCCAGCTCACATCTCTGTAATTCTTTCTTAAAAAAAAAAAAAAAAATAGGGCCCGGCAGCATGGCCTAGCAGCTAAAGTCCCACCCCCTTGAACGAGCCAGGATCCCATAAGGGTACCGATTTTAGTCCTGGCAGCTCCACTTCCCATCCAGCTCCCTGCTTGTGGCCTGGGAAAGCAGTTGAGGATGGCCCAACACCTTGGGATCCTGCACCGATGTGGGAGACCTGGAGGAAGTTCCCGGCTCCTTGCTTCGGATAAGTGCAGCAACGGTCATTGCGGTCATTTGGGGAGTAAAATCATCAGATGGAAGATTTTCCTCTCTGTCTCTCCTCCTCTCTGTAAATCTGACTTTGTAATAAAAATAAATAAATCTTTTAAAAAATTATTTATTTTTATTGGGAAGGCAGATATACAGAGAAGAAGAGACAGAGAGAAAGAGCTCCCATCCACTGGGTCATTCTCCAAGTGGTCACAACCTCCAGAGCTGAGCCAGGAGCCAGGAGCTTCTTTCAGGTCTCCCACACGGGTGCAGGGTCCCAAAGCTCTGGGCTGTCCTCGACTGCTTTCTCAGCCCACATGCAGGGAGCTGGATGGGAAGTAGAGCAGCTGGGACACAAACCAGCGCCCATATGGGATTCCAGCACATACAAGGTGAGAACGTTAGCCACTAGGCCACTGCCCCATTCCTTGTAATTCCCTCTTTAATATTCCCTTTCCCCCCTTAGCCCATTATTTCTATGAAAGCAGTAACCATGACTGCCTTGATTTCCAAGGTCCTACTCCACGACCAGAATCTAACAAAAGCAGTTCTAGCAATGTTCTTAAAATTACATAGATATATTGTCCTGCATCACATAACCAACCAAATGTAAATGTTGTATATCTCAGGCTATTCAAGTTATACCTGAGAATTTCTCCTTTACTATGCACAGAAAATAATTTTGAAACTTTCAGTAGATTTTAAACAAATACCCCCCCCAAAATAATATCACCTAAATGATTTGACTTAGCAAAATAAGGAATGTGGACCTCCTAAGATACCATATGTACTTTACACCATGGTTTGACTATCCTCTCCAAAACTCCCACTGAAACGTAACCACTGTGTAACTGTTTTAAGAGCTGGGACCTTTAAGAAGTAATTAGGCAGAGGCCTTTGGAATGGATTAATACTCTATCATTAGAAAGGGTTAGTTATTGGGGGAGCAGGTTCCTGATTTAAAAAGAAGTCAAGTTCAGCCCAATTTCTTCTGTCTTAATCATGCTCACTTGGCGTGTCACAATGCTCTAACAGCACAGAGGCCCTCACTGGATGCCAGAGCTATGCGCTTGTACTTTTCAGTCCCCAAACTGTAACCCAAATTCTTGCTTATAAATTACCCAGTGTGCGGTATCCTGTTACAGAGGCAAAAAACAAATTAAGACACTTTATTTTTAATTTTTCCATTTTTCCAATAATATGTAAAGAAAGAATGAAAATACAACCAAGAGACAACTGTGTCATATCAAGAAATCACTTTATACAGAGGGAATTCAAATGGGAGATATATGTAATATAAGTTCATATATTAGTAACACATGCATGTATTGTCAAGTATGATATTCATTTAGACACAGGAGTTTCATGATTTCATCAAATTTATGGTTTTGCTTGTGTGTCCCTTCCACAATGGTCAACTATGCACTTACTGAGACTAGGTGAGACCTACCTAATACGACGGTCCAGGAAATTTGCAAATTCAGAGGCAAAGTGCAGTCATAATATATCATAAGCAGCAGTGGGATTAAAGCACCTCAGAAAGCTGCCTTGCCCAAGGTACTGCCAAAACAGACAGGTGTCAATCCCCAATCACACTTAACATTTTTCATGGTCTTACAATTTCAGATCTAACCATAAGTTGAGAACTGAACTAGCTGGTGTGCCACTTTTTCAGTACAGGTTATGTGAGAACATTACATGTTTCCAGGGTATAGTCACTCCAATATATATTTGTAATACATCTCATTACATGAGACGTGAAAGTCAATTTGGTTAAACTTCCTTTAAGTGTTTTTAAAAAAATAAATGGCAGTTGAATGAATGGTGGCAAAAGATTATTTTAATTTAAAAACAGATCAGGATGTGATAAGGTCAAGTGTTGAAATTCTAAGAATTTTTTTAAATGATGATTTAGAAATTATAAATGCTTTCATTCAAAACTGAGGAAAGGGCAACAATTATCCTAATTTCCTAGAATCACAGCTCTTATGAATAATAACATCTAGTTATGAACCTGATCAAGGCTGAATAAATTTTTTTTTTTACAAAACGCCTTTTCAAAAGGGAAGAATTGGGCAAAATCAGAACATACAATTATGAAGGCAAAACCAAGCCCACCAAGGTGCATATGGGGCCAAGAGAAAACAACAGCTCATGAGCAGCAGTTCCCAAGGCCCTGTGCAGGAGTCAGGAGTGCTACAGAGGAGCTGCATAAACAGGGTCAGGCAAAGCGACACCTGCCCCAGCAGCAAAGAAAGAACTCCGCGTCTAATCTGTTGCATCACACCTTGAGAACATGCGTAAGCCATTTTCTTAAATGTTAGGGGTATATAAAAAGAGAACTGGGAAAATCACAGCAACCTACTCAAGCTGCTTCCAGGCATTCAGGGCATCAAATGGGCACGTCTGGGACTGCATCAGCTCCAAACAATGGCAGGACTGCTCAGTGTTCTACCCCTCTACTGACACTATTACAATGACTAGCAAGCCACGCTCTGCAGGAGCAGACTGCTAGTTAGGTGTCTTTAGTCGGACAGCATACGTTCAGAGGCTAAATGGTCCACTGGGGAAGTGGCAACTGCTCCCCCGGGCCAAGCAGCCAGGGTGGCAGGGAGATCCCTCCTGAGTCAAACTTTGGCAACCAGCTGCTTCTGGAGAATGAAAGCTGCTCATGGGTCACAGCTCACTTCCTTTGGTCATAGCAGAGACCAAGAGGCGTGGGTTATAATGCGGGTTTTTGTGTGCATTCACTCCAGAAAACGCGATAAAACACTCAATCGTCCTGCTAAATTGTTAATGAGAATTGAGCAAAATATGCATATGCACAGGGTTGGCTCCCACAGGTGGCCAATAAAATGTTACAAAATCTGTTATGAAATCTACAATGTTCACTTAGTAATATGTCCTAGACAATAAGAAGGAAAAAATTAAAAAAAAAAAAGCATAATGAAGCCACTGTATCCTACCGTAACAGCTGGAAAAGGGTTTTTGGTCTTGATCTTTGTTAGCTTTTTCTTTTCTTTCTTTCTTTTTTTCTTTTTTTTTTTTTTTTTGTAGTTACACCAGGTATGCTTATTAGAATACATCTGCATGTAGAAAGCAATACATTATCAAAATATAAAATATCACTTTTATTAGTAGATTACCTGTATTATGAGCTTAAAATCAGAAAAAAAAAAAAACCCTGCTCTTCTATAAAGGAGAACATATTTAAATTTGTATGGCACATTAGCAAGGAATGGATAGAAACTGTTTATTTTATAAGTAAATCTTTCATTATTAGAAGGAAATGGAACTCGGAAATTCATTTCTTGCAGCTTTCTTGGATAAAGCAGTCTGAACCACTTTAACAAACTGCAATTAAAATAATCTAATAATGTGGAATTCATGACAACCTATGTATGATACACTCATCTACAGAAAACCAAGAGTTGCGTTCAGCCAATTAAATGAATCGTAATAAAAATGAAAGATCAAGAAAGGCAATAGAAAGCGGCTTCCTCAAATGAGGTGCTTTTTACTTGTTGACTATGTGTTTTAAAGTCTGCCTGCGCCTTTCTTTTTCATGAGATCTCAACTGAGTACATATCATTTTATAAACTGTGCAGTGATTAAATTGTGGCAACCAAACAAGTACCATATAAGAGCAATTTCTGCCCCCAAAACAAAAGGACTAGACTCAAGATTAAAGAACAAGTTAAATGGCATCAATGTTAAGCTCTCACAATCAGGTATGGACATCAGCACATAAAACATTCGCTGCAAATAACATGTGGCAAATAACACCATCCCAGGAATTGCATTCTTTCTACTAGGAAACATCTTAAACCAACATTTTCATCCTATGAAAGTCAACAGCAACAAAATCAGCTTTCCCCACACTAATTTCTCATTCAAATAGTCTCACTGCAATTACCATAAATCATTAGCAACCATTAAATTCACAGCAAAGGTGGATTTCGCACCGTCCCCCCAGAAAGCACAAAATTTATGTAACAGACACGATACAGAGAACTGCAAATGCTGAGAGCGTAACATGTGATATGCATGCAGCACAGCAGATTACGATGTTGGGTGAGAGATGCCCTTGCTCCACATAGCGCAAGGATTCTGTTGAGGTAGGCACAGCTCCTTTTATGCTGCAGCTTGCTTCTTGGGAGGAAGGAGCTTGTATGTGTTGAAGTAGCCCACCACCTGCTGGGGAATCTCTGCCAAGACACACTGAGCAAGCGCTTCCTTTGGAGCCTTGTGAGAAACAAAACCAAAATCACCATTAGCAACTGAATCTCTACTGGCTTTTTTGCTGAGACTTGGGGGGGAGGTGGTAATCCACTTGCCATTTAAAAAGCAGTAATTCCTTATTTTTAGGTTTATGTCATTCCTTCAGAAAAGTCCACCAAATATGGAAGAAGAGAAGTAACCGATGCTCTTTGTGACTGCTATATTTTTCCCTGCTAAGTCTTACCAAGACCTTTTTTGGCGTTTGATGATTTTGCTTTATTCTTTAGCTTTCAAATATAGAGCCTTCCTTCCTTTTGTTTAATAACTTTTTTAAAAAGAAAAACATTCGATTTTGAGAGGATTATACATTGAAAGTTACAAAAATAACACCAAGAAGTCTCAAGTACCCTTCAGCAGTTTCCTCCAAATGTAACATCTTATATATCTACAGGACAATATCAAAACTGGAAAATTGACACTGAAACAGACTCACAGATCTTATTCAGATTTCAGTCATTTGTGCATGCCTATGCAACTTCACCTGTGTGACCATCACAATAAGGAAGATACACAACTATTACATCACTGCGAAGACACACACTCTCCCTCCCTCTCAGTGAAGATGGGACTATAAAATGGTATAACCACCCTGGGAAAGCTTAACAGTTACTTTAGTAGTTAAACATGCGATTGCATATGATCTGACAATTGCCCTGGTAGTTATCCCACAGGAATAAAAACACATGTTCACACAAAAACTCCCACTTCAAGGCTTACAGCATTGTCATGTGTCATGGACAAAAATTGGGAACAGCCTAGCTCCCCTTCAGTGGCGGAGTTGATTGAGCTGTGATACATCCAAACCTTGGAATACCGGCAAAGACTTGGGTGACTCAGAATTATGCCAAGCGAAAAAAGGGCCAGACCTCCAAAGTTACATATTATTATTCCACTTCTAGAACATTCTTGAAATCAGAAAAGCATAGAAGTGAAGAGATTAGTGGTCTACAGGCACTAAAGGAAGGATATAGGTAGAAGGAAGGTGAGTGTGGCTACAGGAGGATAGCTTGAGCTACTGCTGTTGTGTTGTACCCTGAGCCCATCCATGTAAATACCTTGGTGGTGATTTTGCACTACAGTTTTTATAGAATGTTACCACTGGAGAAAACTAGTTTTAAAAACTCCTCAGAGAGATTTTCATCAAACCAATGTGCAGCTTGCAAAGTTCAACATATCTTGCATTGATTTTTTCCCTGTTATCACTAAGGTAACAAATACACCTCTACACCAATATCAAATTAACAACTCATCATGTAGACTGTAGAAAGCACACAGGCGCACATGCTGATACGGCAATGTCAAATCCAATCAGAGCTCTCGCTTGCAAAAGACACACGAGGACTGGTACTCACGTTCTGGAACTGTCTGAAAGGCACGAACTGGACAATATCTCTGATGGCGACCTCCCCCGATGGGGAGCGGAGACTTCCACCATCACCGTCCAGAAACTCCATGGCACTGAAGTCAGCTCCTCCCACACCCACAATGATGATGGACATGGGCAATTTGGCAGCATTGACTATGGCTTGTCTGGTTTCATCAAGGTCTGTGATGACACCATCAGTGATGATCAAGAGCACGAAATATTGCTGCCAAAACAAACAAAAAAAAGATACATCCACTAAGCAGGTCAAACATTCCAAACAATAAGATATGATTAATGACATCTCCAGCTTGATGAGTCGTTCAGCATCTTTCTGGCTCATTTTCTTGCCAGTCTTCACCCAGGATACCATCTGCGTAAATGATGCTAAGGCTCTCTGTTGCCGAGGAAATTGGCTCTTAGAAAAATTGAAGGTTCATTAAAAGTGCAGACACCACAGAATAGGGTTGGCAAAATAACTTGGAAACAAGGCATCTAAATGCCTAAAGAAAATTTATCTTTTACTACACGAAGGAATAAGCACTTAAGTAGTTGAAACAGTAAGTATGACGAAACACAGATCAAGGCAGAGAGTGACAACTCCACTCTCAAAAGATCAGGCAAGGTGTGTACTTGGTCTAGTAATTAAGAAGCCAATTAAGGTATCTTCCCCTTTATTGGAGTACCTGAGGTTGATACCTGGCTCTAGCTCTAACTCGAGCTCTCTGCTAATGAAGAACCTGGGAGCAGTAATGATGGCATGAACTGCTTGGGTCCCCGTCACCTACGTGGGAGACCTTTATTCAGTCCCATTCCCGTCTGTGACACAGTCCAAATCCCATCACAGGCATTTAGGGAGTAAAGCAACAAGAGAGGTCTCTCTCTCTAGTCCCCTTAAATCACTAATTAAGCAATCAATCAATTAATCCACACAAATGATCCAATAAGTATGGAAGTGGGCCCAGCAGGATAGCCTAGAAGCTAAAGTCCTCGCCTTGCACGTGCCAGGATCCCATAGGGACGCCGGTTCTAATCCTGGCAGCTCCACTTCCCATCTAGCTCCCTGCTTGTGGCCTGAGAAAGCAGTTAAGGATGACCCAAGGCCTCGGGACCCTGCACCTACATGGGAGACCCAGAAAAGGCTCTGGGCTCCTGGCTTCAGATTGGCACAGCTCCAGCCATTGTGGCCGCTTGGGGAGTGAACCAGGGCTTGAAGATCTTCCTCTCTGCCTCTCCTCCTCTCTGTATACCTGACTTTCCAATAAAAATAAATAAATAAATAAATAAATCTTAAAAAAAATACAGAAGTAAAATAAACTTTTTTAAAAATGGACATGGTTTAAAGAGGGAAATCTTCCTGTAAATTCTGTAATCTCTGATAAAATGTTTTAGAAAATAGAAAAATATTCCATAGAGTTGTTACAACCATCTACTGGGCCATTTAAGCCTAGAACAGGAATCAATTTTGTAATTTTGTGTGTTGAGTATTAAGTCTGACACAGGCACTGCACACTTTACATGAATCACCTGATTGAACTTTGTTGTGTGAGGTAGTTTAGTCCTTACTGCTTCTGAGTGCACACAAGTTGAAGGAGAGTTGATATTGTAGGTCTATTAGACAATGGGCAGCTAATTCAAGTCTCTTTAGCATGGTAACTTATCTTGCAACAAGAATCAGTGCACATCTTATCAAACCTTCATTTTTTAAGCTTGCTTTCAAAAGAAGATACATGATTATCATTTTTGGTAGAACCTCCCTAAAAAAATTTATTCAAGACAGAAAGACTTATGAATACACGCACTGTTTTTATGTCTTATTCTAATGCTCAAACCAAGAATGATTTTTTTCCCATGATATTCCAACAGACCAACTAACAAAGAAAATGGTCCCAGAAGCAATCACCAATCCCCATTCTTCCTGTCCCCTGGCCATGGAGCACTTACAGAAGCCGTCTGCTGTTGGGTGGCTGCAGCAGCAAACCTGGCCACGTGATTGATGATTGGAGAAAAATTAGTTGGTCCATAGAGTTTGATCTGGGGAAGACATGCCCGATATGCCTCTATAATGCCTTGGATTCCTAAATCAGAAAAGGTAGTGTTAAAAATATTGGCTAATTAAATACCCCATATCAGTATCTAGTGCTTTAAGTAATCAAACAACCCATTGTGGCAGTTCTTCTAAGCTTTATACTAAAAAATTCCATTACTATGCTTCATTGCAGAAACGTATAAACTCTGCCCTCTTGCAGGAGAAGGCATTTCTTCTCAATCAAGTGATTACCCTGTCACAGCAGGGTTGTTAAGATTTCTGCTTAATTCTGATGTGACTCTGAATGTGATACGAATGGAAAAAGAACCATGAAAAAAGTACTGCATTATAGAATCGATGATACAGTGAATGAAAAAGCTGCTGATAAAATAACACAGTATTTGTGTATAAATCCAGCATGTCTATAAAAACTGCTTGGCTATAAACCTAATCTGAATTCTAATTAATTGATTTAAATGTTAATTCAGTAACAGAAAAGTTAAGCCTGACATGAACTGTGTCATATTCAACTGGTAAGCTGTATTCGTTTCAAATATTCGCTCCCAGATACTGCATTTTACTACAGAATCACTAATGTGCTTGTTTATGGGGTGCTGCCCCTGGATCAGCTGAAGTGCTTCCTGACAAAGATAGGGCCTTTTGACCAGCTGTAACCTAGGCATGACAATGGATATGACAGCCAGGTGGGAACAGATATTAAAAAAATCTATTTCTCCAACTTTCTTGTTCCTTCCCTCTGCCATTGAAGCAGAACACTCCATGTTTGTTCTACATAAGAGTGGGCAAGCGTTCCATGTAAAGTGGGCAAGAAGTAACTGTTTTCATGATCAACCATTGAGAACAAGAAATTGTTCATTACAACAGCACAACCTAGTGAAAGCTGATGATCATTGCAGGTAAGCACTGCTGATGAAATGCATGTCCCTATACACGCTCGTTGAAGCGCAGCCTTAATAACACATGTTTAGGAAGAAGGTGGGTTCCTCATCACACTGTGTGAGATCAGCAGAGATGTCTACCGCACACACACACACCACACACACACACACACCAATTCGGCATGAATTAGAATAGGTCACTCATATCAAAAACACCCAATAGAAAACACAGAATAAGAAAGAGCAGCACATATTTGGTATTAGCTTCATACAATTCTCTTAAGTTCCAATCAACTCCCACTAGTCACTTAAGACTTAGGAACATGCACTTATATGAACAACCTTGGAGAACATGCCTAATGCATGTACAGGTGCTGTGCTGCTCAGCAGGTGATGCTGAACCAGCAGTCGGTCCAACAGCATCACAACTAGCCACAACAGCATTGGCCAGCAGTGAAATGTGTCCTAAGTGAAGCCCAAACTCACAGAAATACTTTCTTCCTTTCTATCATGTTAACTTATTTTTTTTCTTCATGTTAACTTATTTTTTAATCTGAAAGTTCAAATAGATTTCTTCACAAATAGAATTAGCCTTCAATTCCTCAATTAAGACTGCATTATGCTGTGTTACGAAGATGGCAGAATAGGGTAAGGACACGTTTAATCAGATGGAGAAACATTTAATCAGGATGAAGCAGAGAGGACATATTTCAGGAAATAGGAAAGGACAGAACAACAGCAGAGAGGTACCTGCAGACTGACAGACACAGGAAAGCAGAGGGCACAGCAGTGTGGAATTGCAGTGAACGATACTCCAGCACGGCAATCTGAACTCCAATAGCAGCTGGAACTCCACCAGCAACCAGGTGGGAAAGGACTGTCACTGGGAGCTTGGGAGGTGAACCCAGATGGAGAACTGTCTGTCCTGCTGGTCCATTTGATTTGACCAGGAGCAGAGACAGAGCAGTAAATCTCAGGCTGTGTGAGAACAGAGTGAATTTCATAGCCCAGTCAGTCCCCAAGAGCTGAGTTGGGCGCCATTTTGCCTAAGGAGGAAAGAGCAAGGGAAAGGACTGAGCATGCTCTGAGAGGAAGTGAGCTCATTTCTGACTCAGCGAACTGCAACGACGTGGCATTCTACGGGTTCCATCCGGGGCAGGTCTGGGTAGCCCTCGGATCTGACGACCAGCAGATCAAGAACTGTTGTGATAGCACGTTGGGTGCCATTTTGTGCACTGTGGCAATAGCTTTGGGACTGCAGGGGACAACAGTGAACTGCTGAGGTCTCACAGGAAAATAATATTGACTGTGACATTGTACCGGTCAAAACAGGTCTGTGTGGCACCCAGACCTAACGTCCAACAGGTTCCGACAAGATCAGCACCACCAACAACCAACAACCTAACTAGATAGGACACTTGGTGTCTCTCTAATCCTGGGACCCACTCCAACCAGAAGTGGGAGAAAGGTTGCAGAGACAACAGTGCAGCCTCAGCATGGTATCACAAGAGGTGGAGAGTGGTAAGCCAAGAGCTGTGGCTGTGGAGACCACGGTGGATATCTGACATAAGAACCAAGACCTGAAACTTGCTGGAGGTTGTGGCACAAGTGGCTGCAAGCAAAAAGTTGTGTGCCAACTGCAATAAGTAAAATCGCATTGTACACCTGTGGGTGACACAGCTTAGAAACCTGCCCCAGGAAGAAGACTCTGCTAACCAGAAGTACAATGATCAAGAGCAAAAGAAGAGACAAAGGCACAATGAATATTACTGAGCACTCCCCTGCAAAGGAGCAAAACCCTATGCCAACCTCAGAGTTAACTGAGGAAGACATCGAGAAAATGGGGGACACAGAATCCATAAGACTCATTTTGAAGATTCTGGTCAAAAATGAGAAGCTCATGCAAGAGTTCAAAGAATTTAAGGAAGCAGTAAAGGAAATCAAGGCTGGTATATCAGAAATTAAGAACACAGTAGCGCAAATTACAAGTACAGTGGAGAGTCTCCAAAATAGAATGAAGCAAGCAGAAGAAAAAATCTCAGAATTGGCAGATATCTCCTGTCACCAGGGGAAAGCAAACAAAAAGCTGGAAGCAGAGCTGGATCAGACCAAAAAGAGTATTCAAGAATTGAAAGACACTATTAAGAGGCCAAATAGAAGAGTTATGGGAGTCCCGGAAGGTGCAGAAAGAGAAGCTGAGTTTGCAGATGTATTTAATAAAATAATCAAGGAAAATTTCCCTAATCTGAAGAAAGAATTGGGAAACAAGATCCAGGAGGGACACAGAACTCCTAACAGGCTTGATCAAAAGCGATCTTCACCAAGACACATGATTATCAAGCTCTCTTCAATTGAACATAAGGAAAAGATCCTTAAATGTGCACGTGAAAAACATCAATTGACATATAAAGGAAGGCCAATTAAGCTCACAGGAGATCTCTCACAGGAAACTCTATAGGCAAGAAGAGAATGGAGTGACATATTCCAGATTCTAAAAGAAAAAAATTGTGTGTCTAGGATAACATACCCAGCAAAGCTTTCTTTCATCTTTGAAAATGAAATAAAATTCTTCCATAGTAAAGAAAAGCTAAAAGAATTTGCCTCTTCCAAACCTGCCCTACAAATGATACTTCAAGATGTTCTCTTGAGAGAGAAAAGGAATAGCACCTACCAAAACCAAAGGCAAATGGGAAGAACATCCCAGTACAATGACAACAGAAGACTAAACCAATGAACAACCCATTGCTAAAATGACAGGACCAAAGTACCACCTATGTGTATTAAACTCTGAATATAAATTGCTTAAGCACAATCAAACATCATAGAATAGTAGACTGGATTAAAAAACAAAACCCATTTGTTTATTGTCTGGAGGAGACACCTTCGACAAAGATCAGCGGAAACTCTATCACATGGGTTTTGTTGTTTTCTGTTGATTTCATCTCTTCGGGACACCTTCTTCTGACTGGATCATTCAATGACTCGTAGATCATACAGTGGCATCATTTTCTTCAAGAAGGTTCTTGATTTTCACTTCTTCAGCTACACGTTGGACATTTAACAGCATGTTGTTTAATTTCTTGGTGTTGTTAATTTCTTTTTTCTTCCGGAAGTTGATTTTGTTTTGTGGCTCTTCATTTAAGGGAAGGTAAAGTAGTAGTGTAGTGGAGATTGTCATATCTAGTAACATGTCATTTAACTTCATGGCACTGTGAATTTCTATTTTTCTTTCGGTTGTTGATTTTGTATCATGACTTTTCATTTAAGGGAATGTACAGTAGTTATGTAATGGAGACTAATAACCAGATGTGAGGATGCAGGGTGGTACGCATTTCTATTTCCAGACAAAGATGGACTTATAGTGAAATTGTTTATATTATATTTTGACAATAGGATTCTGGACTCTCTGCCATTGTCCTTGCCCGCAAAGATGAACATATGACTGAGTATGAAGAGCTATGTGTTAGTGATGATGTGGAGGAACTGGGGGGGGGGAGGTAATTGGGGAGGGGATAAGGGAATATGGAACTGTATCGTAAAATGATTGCAATAATAATAAAATGTGGAGAAAGATTACCAAAAAAAATTAAAATAAAAAGAGAAAAAAAAAGACTGCATTATGCTGAAATCTTCCCTTAGAATTAAACGAGCATGTGAGACTTATTATCTCTAGGTAACTAATTTCAATAAATAATTAAGAAATGGGGATCAAAATTCCGTGCTTTAAAATAAAGCTGCAACATTTTTCTGTAGTCTCTCTTCATTTTTTACAATCTAAAGTGGATCTTTTTTTAGACTATAAATCAAAAGTTAAAAACCACACTTAATGAGCAGCCCAAGACTATAAATCAAAAGTTAAAAATCACACTTAATGAGCAGCCCAAAATCATGTACATATTACTCGGAAGGTAACTGAACCTCTGAGACGAATTATCACATAAACTATGCCATCTATGTAAATAAAAGCTAATCAAACTACATCCCAAAAGTTATTCCAAGTTCACCAAAAGCACAAAGCACCTTTCTCTGAAATGAACAGTATGCTCAGGGTCCAAGGGCCAGGAAAAGGAGCTGGTACCAGCCAGTGGAAGTGTCTCAGGAGACTGCTGCATCGTATGCACAAAGTACGGGGCCTCAGGGAGAGCAGGCCAGTGCACACTGCCCCAGGCTCTGCTGCTGAATGCATACTGCCTAGCAAGAGGAGAAAAGAGCAGCTTCTGATAGCAAACTATACGTTGTGTAAAGCTCAAAAGGGCCCTTCACAGACAACGCGCTTACTGTCTGGAATCTTCAATTACCTCTGCCTCCACATTTACCTTCCCTCCTCCAGACCTCTCAGTCTCACATGCTATGGTGGGAGACTTGGCATGTCAGGTTGATTGTTCAACATCGTAAAGAAGGGGGGAGCAATCGGGTATTTGAGGTTAAAGAAGAAAAGTAACAAGGCATACGAATCCCCTCCACCCAGAGCAAGGCTGCTCACACCATTTACAGAACACTGCATGAGCAACAAGCAATTAAATGCTGCACACTTCTCCTTTGCAGAGTGAGAATCTAACAAAACTTCTAAAAGATCTGTGTATTGAATTACTCATTTTAATGAAGGCTTATTTTTACATCTACTTATACCTGAAAACACTTTCAATATATGAATATTTGTATTGATATACACCCAAACAGAACTGTTTTTCTATTAAACTTCAGGAGCTAAAGAACCTGGCCTCTAACCTTCAATATTTCGGCACTGGATTCTGTCACAATCAACTGTCATTGTCACCCTAAGCACCAACTTCATACAACTTCTTTTATGACAGAAAGTTAAATACTTCACAAAAGGAAGCTTGCATTTGAATGATTTCAAATCATGAAAATAAATAAATAAATAACCATGACCAGCAAGGCTTTCAGTTTAAACTCCTCATGCTTCTTACCATTACAATAAGGATTGGCTGGATTGAAGTTCATTGGAAACTCATGCGATACCTGTCACAAAAGAAGCACACGTGAGACCAGTTCTGCTCTTCCAGGACGCCAAGCTATCAAACGAGCTCGTCTCTTACCTGCCACTGCGGAGGCACCTGAGCACCAAATCCAAAAGCTGGAAACATCTTATCACTGAAAGGAAAAATGGGAAAACGTTATTTTTTGTTTAAATAGAAAACAGCTTTATCTTCACTCATAATAAATCACTGTGAATTCCTTTCTGTCCAAGTCTCAAATTCTAGAAGAGTATTAAGAGAAAAAAAGATTACCCATGGTAACTGCCACAGACCCAATCTTACTGGTTGACAACATTCATTCTAATCACTTTTCTGTACACTGAGAAAAACGTCCTTCTCCAGACGTATTTTTATAAAAACAGAATTTATATTCATGTTTTCCTATCCTACATTTTTAAATGATGCACATCATCTGATTGGACAACTGTGTTAACTGTGTAGCAAAACATATGAATGTTTGATCTAAGGGTTTAAGGATAAGGACTAAGGACCCTAATACGCAACGTGACATCATAGGAATGGCTGCTAAGTATTACCTATAGGTATTTTCTCCCCCAACGGTCCATTATTATGACACACCAAAAGTAGTTTTCTCTACTAGGGATATTCTTTGTTAATTCTTTCCGAGTATATTATTATTATTATTTGAAAGGCAGATAGCCCAGGATGGGACAGAAGCAGGGACCCAACTTCCTAAGCCATCAGTTACTATCTCCCAGGACACGCACTAGCAAGAAGTGAGACCAACAGCACAGCCAGGACCCAAACCTAAGCACACCAAAACATGATGTAGACATCTTAACCACCAGGCCAAATGCCTGCTCCTGTGTATTAAATCTTACTGAAGCTAAACCCGACCTCATGTCAGAAATACTTTTTGCTATGTAGCCTGTCTTTAACGTATCTCTTCTTCCACTGTTTTCAGCATTAATGACTGTAAATTCATCTGGATAATGCTTTGGACTAATGAGCGAGGCAGAAAGTGCTGCTCTCTGCCAGCATCCATTCTTTCCTTCCCCCATGTATCTCTACTTCAAAACAGCTTGATTTTCAACAACAACAACAAAAAAAGACAACTTGATTGATTTCCTCAGACATGGACTAGCCCCATGCTCTAGCTTTAAATAAGTTTGTGTCAATATTTGCTAGAACAATTTCCCTTCCTTTCCCCCCCCCCAAAAAAAAAAGTTTTTATTTATCTGAAAGGCAGTATTAGAGGAGAGAAAGAGAGAGAGAGAGAGAGAGAGAAGGGGGGAGACTCTTTTATCCACTGGCCCACTCCCCAAATGGCTAGGACGGCAAGACTGTGCCAGGCAGAAACCAGAAAACAGATTTTTTGCATCACCTTAGGGTGAAGAGACCCAAGCACTTGGGCCCTACTCTGCAACTTTCCCTGGCACATTTGTTGGGAGCTGGACTGACATGGAGAACCCAGTTCTTGAATCAGTGTATGGATGGGACGCTGGTGTCACAGGCAGCAGCATAATCCACTATGCCACAATGCAGACCCTTTTTTTCTCTTAAAAATTTTTAAACTAGGCACATTCATTGTTCATTCTAGATCATTTCTAGATCATCTTGCAGGAGTATAGCAATTTTAATTCCAATTATTGTTTTTTAAATCTTTATTTTATTTTTATTGGAAATTCAGATATACAGAGTGGAGGAGAAACAGAGGGAATGCTCTTCCATCTGCTGGTTCACTCCCCAACTGGCCACATGGCCAGAGCTGAGCTGATCCGAAGCCAGGAGCCAGGAGCCTCCTCCAGGTCTCCCAGATGGGGGCAGGGTCCCAAGGCTTTGGACTGTTCTCAACTGCTTTCCCAGGCCACAAGCAGGGAGCTGGATGGGAAGCGGGGACACCGGGATCGAAACCAGCTCCCGTATGAGATCCCAGTGCATACAAGACGAGAACTTTAGTTAACAGGCTATTGTGTCCAGGAAAACTTTCTACATTTTACAGCATTATCATGGCATCTACCAGTCTGGAAATGGTGGTGTATCTCTCCATTTAAACAGGCTTTCTTCCTTGTCTTTTTGTACAGTTTTCAAGTCTTACTTACAAAAGATCCTACATTTTTTACTAAATTCATTTTAATTTTATTCCATTTCTAATTTTGACTTCACTATAATCTTTCTGAATACCAGCTTTTTTGGTTAGTGGGAAGCTGACTTTCTTATTTTGTGTTTTCTTATTTTCTATCCACCTTTCTAAACTTTCACAATTTTCTGCTTTTTTCCCATTGATACATTCAGATTTCAACCCACTCCTTTTAGGCTTGTTAACTTCTGTTTGAAACTGTCCCGGCCTGGTGGCTCAGTGAAGAATGGTCATTTGAGTTCCTGCTCCATTCCTTCTGTGTTCCTGTTCTGTTCTGGTCTTTTGCCCTTGAGTTAGCTTTGTAATTTACTGCTTCCTAAAATATAATCCTTTCATTTCGATTTTCCAAATATAAAAGCATAAAAGTTTACAAAGTAGTAGCATGGTTTTTATAATTATTTATCCCTGAATCTGTGCTTATAGTCGCTCTCTCTTAACTAGAACTCTGTATATGTTTTTTTCCTTTCCACGGAGGCCAGTGTGGACAAAAGCTTGTCTAAGTTTTATTGAACTAGCAAAGAAACATTTCTTGGATTAATTTGGCAACTAAGCTGCCAGAACCTCATACAGTCTTCTCTTTGTTCTTTATTTATAGATGGTCCTTTACTGCAGTGTGATTTCTTTTTAGATCTAAGGGATACTTAGGAGTACTTTGATTTCCATACAGTTAACTTTCTTCTTTTCCTTTTTTTTTAAAGATTTATTTATTTCCATTTGAAAGGTAGAATTCCAGAGAAGAGGGAGAGATGGAAAGGAAGTAAAAGAGAGGTCCCAGCACAGTAGCCTAGAAGCTAAAGTCCTCACCTTGCATGCGCCAGGATCCCATAGGGGCGCCAGTTCTAATCCCAGCTTCTCCACTTCCCATCCAGCTCCCTGCTTGTGGCTTGGAAAGGCAGTCAAGGATGGCCCAAAGCCTTTGAGACTCTGCACCCATGTGGGAGGTCCAGAAGAGTCTCCAGACTCCTGGCTTCGGACTGACTCAGCTCTGGGCATTGCTGTCATTTGGGGAATGAACCAGCAGATGGAAGATCTTTCTCTCTGTCTCTCCCTCCTATGTATATCTGACCTTGCAATAAAAATAAATAAATCTTAAAGAGAGAGACAGAGACAGAGAGACAGAGAACAAGAGAAAAATCTTCAGTTCTCTAGGTCACTCTCCAAATGGCTGCAATGGCCAGAGCTGGGCTGGTCTGAAGCCAGAAACAGGAGGTTCTTTAAGATCTCCTACATGGGCACAGAAGCCCAACCACTTGGGTCATCCTCCAACAGGGAACTAAACAGGAAACTGAGCAGCTGGGATTCAAGTGGTGTCCATATCGGATGCCAGAGACTCAAGCAAAGGTTTAACCTATAAACCACCATGCTGGCACCATTAATTTTCTTTCATTATTCCTTCGTTATTAACTGTAAGTGGCAGTCTGGGACAGTAATTTTACAAATATTATTTTTATAAAGGAAACCCATTACTGTTATACTTTGAAATGTTTATTACATTTACAGTTATTTTTATTGAAAATGATTTGGGTCTCTTAAATAACAGAGTATTAAAATAATTCTGAATCATGTAACAAAATATTCTACACAGTAACTTTTCAATATATTTAGCAATTATTGCCTGCTACTACAAAGGACCCCATTGCTTCGGCTTCATTTGCATTTGCCTGAAAACTGTGCTTAGATGCTATGAAAAGCTATCAAAACGTAAAGGCTTCTCTTATAAAGAAATAAATAACTAAAACACTCTTATCCCACCACCTACAGCAGAGTACTAGCAAAGAACAGAAAAGGCCTTTTCTGGACATTTAGGAAAAGGAGCATTTTAGTTTTCCCTAAGTCATACTCACGCATCATAATCCTGAACGACCAGTCCAACAGACCAGATAGCAGTCAAATATTCATTAACACCATTGGGGCTGATATAATGCAAGGAGTCCGGAGACCTTGGGTCACCATTGGAGCCGGTGAAGTCCACTCCCACCTGCCAAATAACGATGACAGCCCTGATACCCAAGAAAATTATAGCAGGGGATGCATTCATCCTCAAGCCTGCTACTGCCATTTCTTACACATTATCTACCAGTATTTCCCCCAACAATTAAACAAGCACAGTTTCAATATAAAACAACCTCCTGTCCCTATTATTATAGCTTTCTTTAGTCATGAGTTATTATACACATGACTTCAGTATAACTTCTTGCAAATGTATTTAACTATCACTTCTTATCCCTTAAATCACCATAGGATAACCACAGTCTGTAAGTATCAGCTTTTCTTTAGAAGAACAAGATTACATGAATAAAGCCAAAACTTCATGATGAACCTCAACAACTCATCCAAGGTCTCGGAGGAGCCCATATTCAACAGACTACAAATTTTATCACAAAGTCAGCTTAGCAGTAAAAGAAAGAATACTGTAACATGGAAGATATTTTTACTTACAGTAAAATTCAGCTGACATCCTCCCATGATATAGTCAAGGAATGTGCACTCTACTGTAATCTAAAAGTAAATATCAAGCCATTAAAACCTAAATTCTCCTTGCAGACAACCAACAACAAGCTCTTTTTCTAGGTATGTTTTTTTAAGAGTTGTGAGTTGAACAGCACATGTTAAAAACAGGTGGAAATCACTACTGCATTTGAGTTCAAGGTGCTCCTATACCGTCTACCTGGCATAAATCAGTAATATTTGACATCAAAAAAATTAGAGGGTTGCTACTATGTGTAAGTCTGCTGCCTGCGTGCTGGTTCAAGTCCAGGCTGCTCCACTTCCTATCCAGCTCCCTATCTCTCCCCCTCTGTCCATAACTTTTTTCAAGTAAAACCAAATCAAATAAATCTTCAAAAAGAATTGTAGAAATTTTAAGATTAGAATATTAATAGCCAAAGAGGACATACAGTCAATTGCACATTTTAAGTTTTGTCTAACATTTATATTTAACAGCCATAATAATCAAAATGTCAAAATAAAATTCCAGTTGTTCCCTATCCTTGTGACATCCTGTCTCGGAGTATGACAGAACAAGTGTGCCAAGTCACGCCATTTATATAAATAAGCCGGGAAAATACCGTGATGTCCCATAGCTCCTCAGTTAATAAAAACAGTAATATTTCTTACAGATATTCCTTTGTTACAAAGTTTTCAAGCTGGGTCAGGCACGTGGCATGGCAGTTTTAAGCTGCCACTTGCAATGCTCACATCCAAATTGGAGTCCCTGGTTCAAGTCCCGGCTACCCTGCTACCCAGAGTTTCCCATTAACACATTGCTGGCAAGCATGAGGTCACAGCTCAAGGACTCAAATCCCTGCCACCCTCTTGGGAGACCTGTGCGGGGTTCCAGGCTCCTGGCTTGGCCTAGCCCAGGCCTAGCTGTCATGAGCATTTGAGGAATAATCCTGTGATTTGAAGTTCATTCTCTTTCTCTCTTTCCAGCCACTCTTTCAAATACTTTTCAAAACTATACATGCAACATAAAAATTTTCAAGCCTTGGAAGCCAAGTTACTTGAAAGATTTCTTTATTGCTTGCTATTCCCTTTTCCATATAGGTGACCAGATGTTCATATGGTTTTTCAACTGCCTAAAATTCATACATTTGTTGGCAGTAATTCATATTAATAGAAGAACTCAAAATGTCATTTCATCACATGATAAGCATCCAAGGTTCACTGACCTCACACTGTTTCACACTGATAACACCTGAATTCTTGTAGCTTTTTTTCTTTTGCCTCTTTTTTTCATTTATACATTCAAATTCAATCTGTAGGAAGAGAACAGAAAATGTTAATTTTCACTAATAATATCAGAAATGCTGATGTCAGTTTAAATGACATTGTACCAGAAAACTACTGTTAAAATTCTATTACAAAAGGCAACTCCAAAACAACTGTACAATACCACCTTATGTTAAATATTTACCAGCTAAATTTCCATCAATTAAGATACTCTAAAAATGGTATTCCTCTTAAAATGGTTTCTAAGTACAAATTTTTTCTATAAGTAATTTCCTTACATATGTCCTCAGTAACAATCTTTCCTGTTTATGATAAAGGAGATAAAACATTACTTTCAGCTGTTTACCAAAGCAAAAATACGCTACTTAGAAAAGATGGAGAATACTCAATGTGACAGTGTGGAAATATATGAAACCAAAACCTACGAATCCAAAGATCATCACTTTCCATAGGGAAGACATATTAGAAATACATAAGAAACGTGGAGCCAAAGGCACTGTCATCTTCTCTCTCTCTTCCATGAGCTCTAGAGTTTGAAACCCACAATGCGGGCTATGGAAGCGGGTCTAATATCACACACGTTTCAGTCCTGGGAGATGGGAGGGAAAGGCCCCATAGCCTATGGGGCAGGCCTGGAATCTCTCATGCACTTGTGTCCCAGGTGAGTGGAGAGATAACGTCCCAGACCTGTACGTATGCCACAGGAGCAGGTCTGGGAACCCATCTATGATCTTGGGTCTCTGGTGAGCAGGCAGAGCTCCACACCAGCATTCCACCCACCGCACCAGCAGACTGGGCTTGGGAAAGCTGCCCTGGGGAACTCATATGCTCCCAGCAACAGATACTTTGGATTGCTCAGGGAAAGGGGTATGGGGATGTGAGGAAGGAGGGAGTATGTTGCAGGTGAGGAATGACATCTGGAGGACTTCCACCAGCAAGACCACTGTACTTGCAGGTAAACAAGACTGCTGACATGAGCGGTTTGGAGGGGGGACGCCAGAGGACCTTTCATGGTCACACTGATGCACCTGCTCAAGTGAGAGAATAGATTTGGGCTAGTTCACATCAACCACACTGACCACCACCTCACACTGAGTGCACACAAAAGCTAGGGCTGGGGGCCCATCTGGCAGTGCTAGATCATAGTACCTGTCAGTGGGTGTCAGAACAGGGAACAGTTCACATTAGGCTTGGCCATTGACACTAACCAGCACACCAAAGAACCAGGTCGGGGAAAGCAGGTTCTGTGGAGGATACGTGGGCCCACCCATGTGAAATTGCAATTTCTGCTGGTGTGCTCAAGAGCAGGGATTGGGGGGTGGTGGTGATTGACTGAGCAAGCACGACCATGGTACTCTCCAACACTCATGGGTACTGGTGTTTGGAGCAGGCCAGGCAGATCCATGCCACAGACCCTGAGGGCACACCCAAAATCAGGGTGTAGAGGCAGCTAAGGCCACAACATCTAGGAGCTCATACAAAGGCTCGGACAGGGGCAGACTATAACAGCCTATCACCTACATGTGATATCTGGGTTTGGGAATAGGCCTGGTGGGGGAACTTGGGAAACCCCCTCACTGGGCCTTAGTTCCCACTGATGAGCTTGTGATTCAGGACTGAGTGTTGGTCAGGCCAGGCAAGGCTGCTCCACCCATTGGCCAGTGTGAGGGTTGGTTCTGGAGCAGGACAGACTGGGTTGGGCTGGACTCACTGGCATGTGCAGGAGCAAGCTCGAGTGTGGATCATGCCAGGCTAGGCTATTACACTTACCAGTTTGCTTGAGCCAGAAATGCGAGCAGACTGGACAAGGCGAGGCTGCAGGAACTGCCAGCCAGAGTTGGGACTGGGGGAAGGTTGGGACAGGTCAGGCTGCAGCATCCAAAGGCAAAGGCCAAGAGAAGGGATGGGCTATGCCAAGCTGGGTCAGAGTAACCACTAGCATGTGCAAGATCTGTGGTTGGGAGCCCAGCACAGGAGCTTAGTGGCTAAAGTCCTCACCTTGCATGCTCCATATGGGAGCTGTTTCATATCCTGGCTACTCCACTTCCTTTCCAGCTCCCTGCTTGTGGCCTGGGAAAGCAGTCGAAGATTGCCCAAAGCCTTGGGACCCTGCACCCACGTGGGAGGCCTGAAAGAAGCTTCTGGCTCCTGCCTTCAGATCAGCTCAGCTCTGACTGTTGTAGCCACATGGGGAATGAAGAAGCAGATGGAACATCTTTCTCTCTATCTCTCCTCTCTGTAAATCTGACTTTCCAATAAAAATAGATAAGTCTTATAAAAAAAATTGTGGCTGGGGCCCGGCGCTGTGGCCTAGCAGTTAAAGTCCTCGCGTTGAACGCGCTGGGATCCCATATGGGCGCCGGTTCTAATCCCAGCAGCTCCACTTCCCATCCAGCTCCCTGCTTGTTCCTGGGAAAGCAGTCAAGGATGGCCCAAAGCCTTGGGACCCTGCACTCGCATGGAAGACCTGGAAGAAGCTTCTGGCTCCTGGCTTCAGATCAGTGCAGCTCCAGCCATGGTGGTCATTTGGAGAGTGAACAAGTGGATGCAATATCTTTCTCTCTGTCTTTCCCTCTCTCTGTAAATCTGGCTTTCCAATAAAGACAAATAAATCTTAAAAAAAAAAAGAAGAAGAAGAAGAAATATGTTTGGATGCTGAGTAACTAACTGAATGTATTTACAGCAGTCAAATGATGTTAATAAGTGCCACTAGATGGCAGCTTAATATTGCATAATTTGAAGTTCTGTGGACTAAGTTTTTGTTCTAACTTTGGGAAAGGATAAGTCAGAGAGAAGAGGTAGAGAACAGGTTATGAAAATCCACCCAAAAGTAAACAAAAGTATGCAAAATTAAAGTCCACATATCTTCCTAGTGTCATTGACATTATAACCCCCCAAAAAACGCTGAAAGTGATAAAGGATAAATCTTTTGGCTTTCTTTCTGTAAAACCACATGTTATCTTAAGCCAAAGTAAACCAAAATTTCAAATTAAATGTAAATTTCTGAGAAAGAATTTCTCACATTTACCGTCTTTGACATGGCTTGGCCACAAGGGACACCTGGCCCCAGAACACCAGCCGACCACAAGTCTGTGTCAGGATTATTTTCTGCATGGAGTTATCTGTCCCAGTTTCAGATTCGATGAAGATTCTAATAAGTCTGCACGCCACTAGTCCTTAGTCCCACCCCTTTAGTGTATCAGATCCTCTGGGGAGAGGCGGGGTCTTGGTACCACAGCACCAGCTGGTTGCACTTAGAGCAACTGCCCTGGGTCAGCTAACAGAGAACTGGCCCAGGGGACTGAGGCCTATAATGGAGTCAGCCTTCTGTCTCTCCTCACTGTTACAATCTTTGCTTTCTTGTACGCTGTTGGAGGCCTTACCTGACGTTGGTCACTATGACATGTTGTTCTGCTCAACAAAACTTAACAAAGTTTGGATTACTTGATCACAACACAAGTCAAACACATAGATTTCAATGTACAGTAAAATCACAACAAACTATTTACCATGTCAATGGGAAAAAGAATTAACTCCTATCTAAACTACAAGTATACATAAACACAAAGATGTAACTTACAGGTGAGTTCCTAGAGGCTTCTTTTAGTTTTGTCATGGTGGTTTGAAATGTTCCAATGAGATCATGTGACCCATCATTATCATAATCGTAACACTCTACCTGTAATTAATATAATAATAAATATAACTTTATTTAAAAGCACTGGCTGCAATAAATGTGTTCTTCTGAGAATTGCTGTTTTAGTTAGAATATATGAACACGTTTAATAGATAATCTATACTTCCTAGAGAAGCAATTCTGAAACCTTTTAAACCCCAGCTATCCTTGAAATTGGACACTAAAAGGCCCGGCATGGTAGCCTGGTGGCTGCGGTTCTCGCATCGCACATGCCAGGATCTCATATGGATGCCGGTTCTAATCCCAGCTGCTCCACTTCCCATCCAGCTCCTTGCTTGTGTCCTGGGAAAGCAGTCAGGGATGAACCAAAGCCTTGGGAACCTGCTCTCGCGTGGGATACCCAGAAGAGCTCCTAGCTCCTGGCTTCAGATCAGCTCAACTCCAGCCATTGCTGCAGCTTGGGGGGTGAGTTGGCAGACGGAAGATCTTTCCTCTCTGTCTCTCCTCCTCTGTATATCTGATTTCACAATAAAAATAAATAAAATTTTTTTTAAAAAGAAATTTGACATTAAGACCTATCACAGCGAAATAAAAAACAAAAATATTGTTAAATTCCACTTTAAGCAGTTCACAGATACTCTATGAGGACCAGCATAAGTGCTCTGAGCACAAGCCAACTGGAATTGTATTACTCTCTCGTCCATCTTTTGATCTTATTATCAATGGCTAAAAAAACATTATCTGGAAAACGAAAGGAAGTGCGTACCATAGGCAGCTGATGATAGTATCAGTAAATCCTGAATATTTAGAATTGGGAAATGTATGCTCTTAGTGGCTATGTGCCGAGGCTGGGCTTGTGCTAAGGCTTAGGCATACTTAAGTCAAGACTGCCATATTATGAAGATCCAGTTCTTAAAATAGAAAGAAAAATTCCAGGGCAAAGACTTCTTTTTCTACTAAGAAAGATTCTATATCCTGCGTCATATTCCTTGCTGTTTCCATGTAAGATAAGGTGAGTCTTATGTCAGCCAGAGGATTCTGGAGAGATTTCATCGTGCTTGGAATGGCGAGATTGGCAGCAATTCAGAACTGTTGAACTATCAAAACCACTTGAGCAGTGCCCTTGGAGTATGCCCCACATGGGGGATCCTGGGATAGGGTGGGAAACTGGGTGAGGCTTCACACTTTACCTCCCTCCTTACCCCAGATATATTCACAAAAAAATATGGAGACAATGGTCTTACCCCTTTTCTGGAACCCTTGACCCTTTGTCCCTAATCAACTATGTAAAGATTATCAAAATTTAAAAAAATTTTAAAAAGATAAGGTGAGTCTTGAATCTGGTTCTTATTAAATGCCTTCTCTCTCAGAGAGAAGACAAGGTGGGAGCATGTTTGATTTGCATGTGGTTTTCTGCCAACTTGACAGAGGTAGTCAAAGAATAAATAATCACCATAATACTAGAATATTGTTTCCAAAGGGGAATCAACCAAGGTGGCATCAACTCTTAGCAGAGTTATCCAAGGGAAGCTACACAATGATTGTGAACATTCAAAAGCAATGATTTTAGTGCTTTGCAGTCACAACAATCATTCATTCCTGAAAAGACCTACTATGTGCACTACATGCACATCAGTTTTGTGAGGCACACAGCATTGAAATCACATCATTATCTCCATTTTACAGACCTAAAATGTGGAGAAATTAAATCAAAAGTTAGACAATATACCTTGTGTAGCAACCAACACAGGTAAAGCAAGCTCTGTTACAGACACTTTCTAGAGCCTGTTCTTTAAAACAGAAGCCTGTACGTGGAAAATAATTTGCTATTATCCTTCACAACGTTGTGTGCATCACCAAGCAAAATGCTTGGTAGTTTACATGTTTGCGTGACAAAGGAGTATTTTTCTTTTCAGTTCTCTGAATTCAATTATTATCACAACTGAATTCCAAAAGAATCAATCAGTTGATAAAACCAGGCAAGATCTAAAAATGAATTTTAAGTAAGAACAAGAATTTTATTTCTTTAAAGAAATTATTTTCAGGCATTCTAATCACTAAGTCTGACAGTTTTGACTCCTGACTTACATATAAAATACCCAATTTTACACCCAAAGGCCATGGGCCTAGCATAATGGCTTAGCTGGCTAATCCTCCTGCAAGCGCCGGGATCCCATATGTGCACCAGTTCTAATCCTGACAGACCCACTTCCCAGCCAATTCCTTCCTTGTGGCCAGGGAAAGCAGGAGAGGATGCCCTTGGGACCCTGCACCCATGTGGGAGACTCAGAAGATGCTTCTGGCCCCTGGCTTTGGATCAGTTCAGCTCTAGCCATTATGGCCAGTTGGTGAGTGAACCAGCAGATGGAAGATTTTTTTCTGTCTCACCTTCTCTCTGTATATCTGCCTTTCCAATAGAAATAAATAAATCTTTTTAAAGAGAGAGGAGAGAGAAAGAAAATCAAAAGTGACTCAGCTGACTCTCATGTGTCAAAGAAAAATAGAATTTAAACTTTCAATGATTTTTTTCCCAAGGAAAAATAAGCCCTATTAAGGTTAAAAAAAAATATATATATATACCTCCCTTAATATTGTAATAAATGCATGGATTTTAGGAGACATCTTTGAATCATGGGAAACAACTTGATATTTAAAATGTGTATTCAGTTTACATCTAAAATAAGTCATGCTTTGAAAACGTCAAGATTTGCCATTTGGACTTGTTCCTTTGTGAAATGTTTGCCCATTTCCTGTGCCCATTTCTTGAGTGGCTTGTTTGTTTTGGTTTTTTGGTTGTTTAAGTTCTTTGTATATCCTGGAAATTAGCCCCCTATCGCCTATATAGTGGGCAAGATCTTTCCCACTTTGGGGGTGCTTTTTACTTTGTTGATTGGTTCCCTTGCTGTACAGAGGCATTTAGTTTGATGAGGTCCCTTTGTATATTCTGTTCTCAATGCTATTGACTTTTTGGTTGTCCTTCTTAGAAAGTGGGACTACTCTAGGTTTGCTGGGTATTTCCTACATTTTTGGCAAGAGTTTGAAGGTTTAGGACTGTAGGTTAGCTTTTTATCCATGTAGATTGGAATCTTAGTGTATGGTGATAGGATGTGGGTCTATCTTTTTGTTTCTACAGGTATCTGCAGTTGTCCCAACAGACATTTTACTAAAGAGGCCTTCCACTTGTTGGACTGAGTTTTATTTTTATTTTTTTTTCTTCAATATAGTGTCTTTTGTCAAGATTAATTGGCGTGTTCTGTGTGGTTCTTTTGGTGTTTCTTTCTATTCAGTGATCTTCCTTTGTCTTTGTGCAGTACCGGCTGTTTTGCTAACACTGTCTATCTGTGTCAGAGGTGGGAAATTGTGATTCCCTGCTAATTCTTTATTCTTTCAGGATTGTTCTTATTGGACAATTAACGCTGGACTTTATGCTGGTATATGCTTACAAGGTAGGAATTCAACTGAACTTGAACTGTGGTTTTGCAGCAAGGTGGAGGACTCCACCCTGGGGGGGGGGTATGGGAGGGGGGGGGGGAATCCCCAGTGCCTATAAAACTGTATCACATAATACAATGTTAATAACAATAAAAAAAAAAAAAGAAAACATCAAGATTTTGTTTTTAGAAATTTTTTGAAAAATTAAAAGGGTAACTGCACAGCTGGCATTGTGGCACAAGTCAAACTGCTTCCTGGGATGCCACCATCCCACAGGAGCACCAGCTGGAGTCCTGGTGGTTCTCTTTCTAATCCAGCTGCCTACTAGCAGCCATGACTACAGTGAAAGATGCTTCAAGCGTCTGGATCCCTGCTGCCCATGGGAGACCACAGTGCAGTCCCAGGCCCCTGGTTTTTAGCATGGCGCAGTCCTTCCCTTTGTGGCCATTTGGGGAGTGAACCAATGAATGAAAACTCATTCTCTCCACTCTGTAACTCTGCCTTTGAAATAAACAAATCCTTAAATTTAAAAAATAAAAAATCCCTATAACTATGTTTAGACTCACTGAAACGAATACATGGTTAAAAGCTTTGTCTTGTTTGGAGACGGACATTACACTGATAATACCAGCATGTGCTCAAATACAGTTTGAGGTAAGATGAATGGCATGTTTTAATTTCTTTCTTGTTAAGGAACAGAAAATTAGTGCCCTGGGATGTCTAAACAATATTATCACAGTGCTAGTGAAATTTAAAGATATGCATATGTACAATGCATATCTTTAAATTTCATACATATATCCATCTGTATATATGTAAAAGAACACACACATCAGGCAATACTACATCCAGTTAGACATTCCCATTTGAAGTCAGGTGGCAGCATGCAGCATTACTTCTGACTCATTCCATCTTATGGAAATGACACACGCCAGAGTGACAACACATTGCAGCCAGGAAACTACTAAGATGCTTACTTTGTACTCTGTTCCACAACTATTTACAGTATATCAAACCAATTTCAAACAGCACAAGAATCACAGATGCATGAGTTTCTGATATCACAAAGAGATGCAGAACTGAAGAAATGAAGTGAATGATGACGTGGCAAACCAAGGTATGTAACATTAGGGAGAAATCAAGAAACTTTGAAGAATGGAAGGCATTCACCAGAGAGTTCTCAAAAACTCAGTTTACTTACTATAATAAAATAGCTCTGTAGGCATGCCACTGTGAGTAAAAAAATGTAAAAACATTGTTTGCTTGTTAATACACAATTACAACAATTAAATAGTTAGGGCCACATTATGCCCAGGATTTTGTGACTTCTCAACTCTAATAATGTGTCCTAGTTTTAATGTGAAAAGTGGACGTTCTGGATTTGTCTTCACACACACAAAAAAAGCAAGCAATGTTTATAGCTACTATGCAGCAATAATCTTGTACCTAGATTTTCACTGCTGAAACACCATAAAAATCATACTTATATTAATTTTTAAGGTAATCTCTACAAACTAAAAATAATTCTACGGATCTAAGAAATAAGTCAGTTTTCAATAATAATACCATCTCTGCTGTGTTAAATAGTTTATAAGCTTTTCACTTTCATTCATCTTATTTTTACTGTTCTAAGATAGAACATAGTATTTCCATTACATTTGAAGAAACAGGGTGATCACACATCCTACATCAGCTGAACTTCGAGTTGCACTGTGGTCTGACTACAACTCCCATGCTTACTGCAGAGCACCACCTGCCTTCTTGCTTTAACCACAGCAATTATATACAAAATGAAGAGGATAAAAGGGAGGAAGGTACAACTGAAGCAAGGAAGGAAGGGGAGAAAGACAGAGATCAAGTAAAGACAACGATTCTACAACAAAAGTGTCTTGACTACACAAGTATTTGCATGTGTATGGCTGCGTGTTTGGGTATGGGAGTTAGAAGTTTGTAAATGCCTATAATTAAAAAACATTTTGTTTTAAAAGGCACTTCTGATTTTCCCTGTTCCTACTCCACCTCCCTAGCTCTCTAAAACTAAAATCTCTAAAAGTTTTCAAAGAATTACATCTTGTAAAATTAGAACAGAAATGTCACCACTAGGCTCCTCTGCTAAGGGTCAGAGGGCTCCCTGCCTTCCCATCAGGTAATGTTAACTTTACTTGCAAGAAACACACTAAAGGTAGAGATCATAGTTACAGTCTCCTATCCACAGAGCAAAGAAACCTTATCAAAAGGAAAACTATTTTAGTTCGATATGAAATATATTATACAACTGATTAAATTTTAGAGAGACATATTAACCACTTATGCCTATTAATAAAAAAATGACAATTTTTTGCCAGAAACTTTTTTTTTATTTTAGTACATTAAGACATACAAAGCTCAATTCCAGGAGCCAGCACTGCTGTCCAGCAGATTAAACCACCACTTGCAATGCTGGCAATCCATATCTAAATGCCAGATGGAGTCCTGGCTGCTCTATTTCCAATCCAGCATCCTGCTAATACGCGTGGCAAGTCATTGGACAATGACCCAAGTTTTTTGGGACCCTGCCACCCATGTGGAAGAATTTCTAGCTCCTAGGTTGGGTTTGATAAAGGCTCAACTGTCGCAGACATTAAGGAGTGATGGGAGTAACAGATAGGAGATCTCTCACTTTTCCTCTTCCCAACTTTCAAATAAGTAAGTAAATAAATAAGTAATAAGCAATCTTTTAAAATAGGTCAACACATGCATTTTGTATGTGTATGTTTGCATATTAAGACAATTTCTGATCTATGATGGTTTGATTTAATGATTTTTCAACTCTATGATAGTGAGGAAACAGTATATATTTTAGTAGAAACTGCTATTTGAGTATGAAATTTGGATCTTTTTCTAGGCTATTAATATAAACTTGGATACTTTCACAGTGCTTGGCAGTGACCGTGAACCACAGCTCCCAGACAGCCACACGATCAGGAGAAACAACTACACTCTATTCAATATACTACATTGCTGGAATTGAGCTACGTGGAAGGTGAGGTGTACTAAAGGTACTTCGACTCAGGACGCTTTCAATGTAGGATGAATTTTTCAGAGTGTAACCCCATTGTAAATTGCTGAGCCTGTATATAATTCCAAATTACCTTGATGATTTTGTCCATATCTCCATAGCATAAGGAATTAAGAGAGATTTTAAAAGGTCTCCAAACAGGATTTAAGTTGTTTTTAATAACCTATAAAAAGAAAGGTTCAAAGGCTTGTTAGAAAAATTTTCAGTTCACAACACTTTGTACTTGCCCTTCCTTGTTCTTGCTACGTTCTCCCCAGTCATCTCTCATTTCTTTTCTTAATCAGATATTCCAATGAAAAGCTAAGATAACATTGTACAACTGTCACATGAAAAATATAATGCATTGTCCAACTCTGGAATATTCTGATGAAAGAGAAAAACTATGTGTAAAATCCATAAAACTATCATAAAGGGCATTTACACACTACAGATTATGGGGTTTACTCTTGTCTTGTTGTGTTTTAGAACTTGAGGTTTCACTGTAGGACACAGTATATTTGATTTAAATATGGACTGGAAAAGAGTAAGGAAGAATCTTGTTACGTTAGATCTGAATTGGAAAAATAAACCTAAATTTGTGATTGAAAATCATAAATATATACACACACATAATAAATGGAAGGACAAAAATAGACACAGTTCCACTTGTGTCCCTTGAAATAGCCTAAAAGCAATGACATCATAGTAGCAATGGACACGTCTAATATTTGTATCTTAGTGTCTAAATTTTACTCCTCCAATTTATAGTAATGGGTGCTTTGAGGAAAATAACATATTCCAGTTTTGAGACAAGGAAAGTTAAAGTAAAGCTAAACTGAGGATATCTGTTATCATAGGAAAAAAGAATGCTTGAATACTGGTAAGATTATGTTAAAAAATAACCCTAGAGTCACTTGAAGGAGGTGTCCTTGAACTAAACAAATTAAACTGAACATGAAGAATGACAATAATGAATAATTACTGTGTTATTATACACTGTTCCAACAATGCCTGAGTTTACAACGATAGTACATATCAAAAGGGAAATAGTGAGAGAAGAGACAAGGAATTCCTATTAATCTGAGTAATAGGGATGAAAGACTTGGGGGAGGGATCACTATTTCACAGCTTCCACTATAGTAACTGATTTAGGAAATAATCAACTGATCCTAAAACCAATATGTAAAATGCCACAGAACGGGTAACACATTCAACCTCAAAATATCATAATATATATTATCTATTAATTACAATTGGGGAAAAAAATGGACTTTCTGATAGTGAGATCTGCCATCTCCATATTGAGCAGGCTGACTCCATATACTCCCTGATGATGTTCTTGACAGAAATGTAGGTTTAATCTGGACCCAGTGGTGAGAAATAGAAATCTGGCCATGCTGACCAACAGATTCAATGGCATAAAGCACGAGAGGCAGGGAGAACATATATGCTACCTGAAATATAACAGCCAGATGATCGGAAAACAAAACCAATCTAAAACATGTAGGGGGCACCTGAGAAGATCTAAAGCTGAATGGCATATTAAAGCTGGTGCTAAATCAATGGTAGTCTTCTTAGGTGTGGCTGTTTAGGATGTCCCTGTTCTTGAGAAATTCCTGCTCCAGCAGTGAAAGCTAAAGAGCCTGTATCTGCATCCCACATCAGGATGGTTTAGCAAAAGGGGTGTATGCATGCCTAAATTCATATGCATGTGCGTGAATGGCAGAACACAAGTGTGTATAGATGTGATGAGGCGATGAAATCAGGCAAAGGATACATATGTAGTTCTTTAGGGGGCTTAAATTTTATCAAAATGAAAATAACTGGACATGACAGTATAAATGGGTATATGTTAGCCTTAGGTCCTAACTCATATAAATATTTTTATAAATTTGTAACTTTTTAAGATTCAGATTGCACCCCCCCCCACCACCAAGGAAACTTGCACCCTACATTTTAGATTTAGATACTTACCTCTGTTCGATGAACCATCAGCCAGTTTCCATCAGATGTCTGTTTGTGGAATTCCAGATACGGGTCTGACTTTCCAAATAGATCCTAGGTAAAGTAAGCAAGCAAAGGAAAAGCACAAGGCCTGTGAAACCATGCATTACCATACTTTACACATGTGAACAACTACCTCAAGTTTACCCCGTAAGTGCAAATGTAGTGCGCACAAATGCCACCGCTGTCCTCACCGCCTTATAACACGCTGTCTTACTAAGAGCTAGCTATTGAAGGCATTTGTGTTGAATGCTGCTAATCCAGAATGTCATATCTTTACTTCTCAAGTACAACATGGTGTTAAAGTACAATGATCAAATGGACCATAAAATATGTTTTCAACTGTTTTTCACTGTTGATAGTTTTCATTTACATAGCAATAATAGTTTTATATAAATTATATCCCAAATATTAACCATACTGACTCTAAAATAAGGCAGTTAGCAGAGAGACAATGGATTTAAAGGAATCAAATAACTTTCCCTAAGTCCAGTATTTAATCAATTGATGGGCCTAGGCCTTGAATTCATACTTACTCTTATAGTTAACACCCTTCCACTAATACCATGCATTTCTTTACGCATACAAAGGAATGGAAATAGATAAATGGAGCAAATTTCACAAATACTTAAACACAAGCTGTACCTTCTATTGCCTGTGTGTAACATAGCACTTCTTACAAAGTTCAAGTATGGTTAGTCCCCAAAAATAGCCTCATTACTATCCTCTGTGCACACACACACACACACACACACACACACACACACACAGACACGTTCACATAGAGAAAAAATTCTGGAAGGATTTACACAGAGGCTAGACTCAGGTAAGATTATAGATTGTTTGATTTTCTTATTTGATGTTCTTATTTTTATTTACCTTCATTTTGACTTACATACTTCCTCACATTACTTCCTACATTTTAAAATGAAAGTATATATATGAATTCTACAATAATATATGAAGATACACTAAATTGTGAAGATACATTAAATTATTATCCTACAATAGTATATGCAGATATACTAAACAGCCCTAACTTACTAGATTTAGTCCTAAATTCACCTCAATATTAAGAACTAACATAGCATTATTTTCCTTTTGGGTATAAAGCTTAATGTCAAGGAAATCGCACATTTGGTATAGTTGAAACATGAAGACTATGAATAACTATGTTTCTTAGAAAAATATTGCTAAGTAAAATAAGCTTCTCTTTTTAGCACACTAATAACTAACAACACTATTGCAGATAGAAAAATTAACTGTTCAAAAATGCATTTAGAGAGACACCTCTGTCTCCAGCACTGGCATCCCATATGGACACTGGTTTGAGTCCCAGCTGCTCTGTTTCTCATCCAGCTCCCTGCTTATGGTTTAGGAAATCAGTGGAAGTCCCTGTACCCATGTGGGAGACACAGAAGAGGTCCCTAGTTCCTGGCTTACGATCAGTTCAGCTCTAGCCATTGCAGCCAGTTGGAAAGTGAACCAGCAAACAAAAGATCTCACTGTCTCTCCTCCTCTCTGCTTTGGGCCATCCTCTACTGCCCTTCCAGGCCACAAGCAGGGAGCTGGATCGTAAATGGAGCAGCCAGAACACAAACCAGCACCCATACATGATGCTAGTACATGCAGGTGGATAATTAGCTTGCTATGTCACTATGCTGACCCCGTGATGTACTAATTTCAAGTACCACCTGCAGATGCCTTGGCAGAGTCACACCAAATGATTCCACAGGCTGCTGGCTAGATAATCCCCACCCCTGTGTTGAGATAATCCCCACCCCTGTGTTGAGAGAAGTAAAGAGAAAAGGCTCTGCTTATCCACTTAAAAATGGACATACATACACACTGTCATATACACACAGAGAAATAGTAGAATTTAGAGGTAATTAAACCTTTCTGTGATGTGCAGATGATGACATTCACAATATCGTTTTATCTTCTCAAAAAGGAAAATGTGAAGTAAAATGACATACTTCTTGACATTGGCATGATCTACTCACCTTATTATCCAGTTTTCTGGCTTCCATTTCAAATAAAACCACCCTGTTATCTTTTATTTCTTCAGCTGAAATCTATAAACAGATAAGGGAAACAAAAGGAAATACATGTTAGGGATTCTGATATAATTTAGGAAGTAAGTACTTAACAGAATATAAAGTGTATCCCAACATCAATGTATACTAAAAGGCTCACTAAGAAAACAGTGCCACTAAAAAAGACTTACTAGCATTTCTTTTACATATGAAAAAAATATGTCCCCAAAGTATACCACGTCTGTGTTATACAATTGTTTTTAAATGAAATTGCCCAAACTCTATCTTTTCCATTCCAGAGAAAAATCAAAGCCCTGGAGGAGGGATGGAAGCTCACTTCCCAAGATGAGCATCACAGCTCCCAAACACCGGGAAGTCTGAGTTAATCAGATCTACGGAAATATACAAGTTGAAACATCAGATCAACATTTTTCATCCAAGGAAAGACTCAATGCACTTTAAATTCCAGATTATCATGTTCCAAGAGCAATCAAGCTAATTACTGATAAAGCTCTCTGCCCTCCAAGTCAGCAACAATGCCAATATTCTTGGGCTGTTCAGAGAAAAGGATCCTCACAAGAACCTCAAACATGACATCTCAAGAAGGTATCTCTTCAGGAGAGAGCTAAAGTTAGAAAATGACCACTCGAGGCAATGGTTACCTACACAGGAATTTTAGAACACGAGGTGTTGAAAAACTTAGCATTAAATAACTAGAAATGTAAACCAGGATAGGACATGTATTTGTTTGCCCATGCCAGGAAGTCAGAAATTTAAAAATCTGTGGGAAGATGAGCAGCAAAATGCAAACATACACAAACAAAAATGATGGCTAAAGAGTTTATAGACTTGAAGATCATGCCATAATACAACCTCCACCTGGAATGAAATCCACTGTGAGAGGCCCGGCAACGTGGTCTAGCAGCTAAAGTCCTCTCCTTGAACACGCCAGGATCCCACATGGGCACCAGTTCTAATCCCAGCAGCTCCACTTCCCATCCAGCTCCCTGCTTGTGGCTTGGAAAAGCAGTCGAGGATGGCCCAAAGCCTTGGGACACTGCACCCGTGTGGGATACCCAGAAGAAGTTTCTGGATCCTGGCTTCGGATAGGCATAGCATCGGCCGTTGCACTCACTTGGGGAGTGAATCATCGGACAGAAGATCTTCCTCTCTGTCTCTCCTCCTCTCTGTATATCTGACTTTCCAATAAATAAATAAATCTTTAATAATTAAAAAAAAAGAAATCCACTGTGAAAAGTGCTTGTCAGTTTGAGTGCCAAAGTGATCCATCCAGAATATTACATAATTTCTAACTTGAGAATTGTCACTTCCATGGAGGAGGGGCAAGTATTGTAAAAACTACACCTGACTACTATAGGCAACTTAAACTGAAAGAAGCAATTGTCACATGCATTGTTCTCCTGTTTGACCCCACTCATTGTCCACATGAACTCTATGGTATGATTCCTATAAGGTAAGAGGAGATGAAATGGAACATTTGATATCAAATGATAAAGCAACTGATATGTACAATTTCAGCATATCCTATTTTGTTCATCTCTGAGACAAAAGGCAATTATCCTATCCTTACCGTAATGCTCCCTTTTCCTGCAGGCTTGCCATTCTTAAGCACCAGTGGTCGGGTGAGTCTCTTACTGGATACAATCTGTTAAAATTGGGAAGTAATAAAAAACGGCGACTTTACTTCAACATGCAAATTTTTTAACTGCATAATTTCAAAAAAGGAAAATAAAGTTCACTTAAAGTCATCAGAAATAGAAACATTAAGTCCATGCCTTAAAGATATAGAGATTATAAGACCCAGCACAGTAGCTTTGAGGCTAAGTCATTCCCTTGAAAGTGGCTTGATCCCATATGGGTGCTGGTTCCAATCCAGGCAGCCCTCTTTCCCATCCAGCTCCCTGCTTGTGGCCTGGGAAAGCAGTTGAGGACGGCCCAAAGCCTTGGAACTCTGCACCTGCTTGGGAGACGCAGAAAAACTCCTGGCTTAAAATCAGTGCAGCTCCGGCGTGGCAGTCACTTGGGGAGTGAAGAAATGAACAGATCTTCCTTTTTGTCTCTCCTCTCTGTATGTCTGACTTTCCGATAAAAAATAAATTCATCTTTAAAAAAGAGACAAAGAGATTACAAAGACCCTCAAAGTGCATCTATACATTTAAACTCATTGCAAAAGATTTCCAAGAGGCCCATGCCTCTATACCTACAGTCTTCATACCTATTAGTTCCTTATGAACTACCTCAAAGTTTAACTTCTTCCTAATAATAGAAAGAGAAGATTTTCATCAAATGCGCAAACCACTGAGCTGAAACCCTGTAAATAAAACGTGGAGCACTGAACAGTTGTTCAGCAGGATTCAACTTTCCAACTGACGTACAACTTCAATACCCAACTCCTACAAAATATGATTTTGCTTAAAATGGAGTTCATGAAATACGTTCAAATAGTTCATGAAAAATGAACTAAAGGACAATTTTGATGTAAAAATCTCCAATCTACGCAATATTTACATAATATAAATTTTCCAAGGACTTTTTTATGCGTCCTTATAAAGTACACCTAGATATTTTTTTCTATTATGTATTTATTTATTTGAAAGGGAGAATCGCAGAGAGAAGGAGGGAGGAATCTTGTATCTGTTGGACATCTCCCCAAATGACCACAATGGCCAAGCTAAAGCCGGGCACCTGGAATTCCACCCAGGTCTGCCACCAGATGCAGATGCATAAACACTAGGACCATCTGCCATTGTTTTCCCGGGCGCATCAGCAGGAGACTGGACCAGAAGAGGAGATCTGGGGTTTAACCTGGAGCTCACAAAAGTGGCCAGTATGACAGTTGGGAGCTTAACCCTCACACCACAGGGCCAGTTCCCCTAGAGACTTTTTTTTTCTTAACATTTATTTATTTTTATTGCAAAGTCAGATATACAGAGAGGAGGAGAGACAGAGGGGAAGATCTTCCATCTCATGATTCACTCCCTGAGTGATCTCAATAGCCAGAGATGAGCTGAACTGAAGCCAGGGGCCAAGAGCCTCTTCCAGGTCTCCCATGCGGATGCAGGGTCCCAAGGCTTTGAGCCATCCTCGACTGCTTCCCCAGGCCACAAGCAGAGAGCTGGATGGGAAGTGGGGCCACCAGGATTAGAACCGGCGCCCACATGGGATCCCGGCATGCTCATAGTGAGGACTTTGGCCACTAGGCCACAGTGCTGGGCCCCTCTAGAGACTTTCAAACAGATCGGTCTATGGCAAATCTCAAATTATTTAGAATTTGCTGTGCTGATTTTTTTTAAAGGATAAATAATTGCATAAATTTCTGTTTGATATCATTTATCAAAGTTTTAGGCATTCCATATTGCCCTTGAGATACAGCAAACGTCCTGATCTTAAAATGGGTTCAAGTGAAAATTAAAGCTATAAAGGTCATATTTTAGTGATAAATGCTACACACTGAAAAAGAAATTACCCTCCTTCACGAAGCCTTCCTAATCTTTATACATGCTCATGCTATCTGCTTATAGATCATATTGAACTAGGAACAAAATGGTGAGCCATTACACACCTACCCCGAGAAGTGAAGACTACAATGAGCATATTTCACCACGTGTTTCTACAGTGGTACAGAGAATTAAATGAGTTCAAGAAAGAGCTCCAAACTAGCCTAGGGGACCTGAGAAGGCTTACAGGAGGAATAAGGTTGAAATCAGCACACCTCAGCTTGACCAACAGCAAGCCAAGTAGAGGGGTGGTGGGTGGTATGGGGTATTGGGGGCCAAGGGCTGCAAGTCATCACACTTAAAATATCAGAGAAGTTGCTGTTATTTCAACAAAATTTATGACTTTACCATAAAGACAAAGTTCTATTGAACTCTGGGAGCTACAGCAGCAGCACTGTTTATGGAAACATCCCATTAAATACCCCTAACTCAAAAGAGTTAACAGGAGTTGTCATAAGCATAGTCCTTGTCCTAATGAAGAACAAGGGAAACAAATTCACGCCAGCTATTCCAATAGATGAACTCAGACTTTGAGGTGATCACATGCCTTTCAACTTTTACTATCAAACAAAGAAACAAACAAATACAGCAGCTGTTTATACTCACTTGTCCGAGAGTACATTCGCATTCTCCTAAGAAATCATCATCGCTCAGCTCAACCGTTTTGTTGTCAATATCATAAATTCCAAATTTCAGTTTCTGAACCACTTCAAAGTAGTAATCAATAATAAATGTCTTAGAAAACTTAGGATTCAAGCAATTCTTAACTTTTTCCGTGCGTTCAACCTGTACTCAGACCCCAAAACAAAGAAAAAGAAATTTCCTCAGATCAAGGGTATGCTTGAACTTGAACATCTTTATACTAAATGCAATTAAGTATAGATATGAAAACTAAAGGCAGCATCTACCTGCATAAAAAATGCTACAAGCAAAGGTAAACTTGCTAGAAAAGTTACAGTAGTAGAAGAAAGGATGTTGTTATTTTTACTATTTTAATAAATTCCTCACATTGTTAAAACAAGTCAGCTCATTCTTCACCTAAGGTATTTAATATTACCTCATACCACTGTTGACCACTTGTATTCAAAAACAGCGCACACAAAGGGTCCGACTTGGACCCTATATCTGTATCCAGAAGGTTGTCACAGGAAATATTCAGCTCTACTTTCGTGACACACTGGGCAGCCATCTTTGGAGCTGTGAGAAAACCAAGAAAACAAAGCAAGTGAAATTGTGTCTTTAAGAAGTACCTTCTGAGCAGGACTTAGCGTAGCAGTTAAGATCCCCATATACCCACATCAGAGTTTGGTTTTCCACCTTCAGTTCACAACTCCAGCTTCCTGCCAATGCAGACTCCGGGAGGCAGCAGTTCTGAGTTTCCAGCCTAGACCTCAATGATAGCCCAGGACACTAAGGCTTATGGGAACTGAACAAATGGATGGAAGTGGCTTTTCTCCCTCTCATATTTTCTCTCTCTATCTCTCCCTCCCTCTGACACAAAAAGCAGCAGCACACTTGTTCCTAATGGAAGTAGCTGGATACTTAAAGTGCCACAAAAGACAGTGAAAACTTGCTGGAATGACACTGCTCTGTCTCCTGGGGACATGCGTGTAGCTTATCTTGGTGATACTGCTTTAGTCAAATACTCTTATTTCAATAAAACTCCTTCATTAAATGACAACACAATGACTTTTTTAAGGCGACAGCTGAGACACACCAGTTTTAAGTTGGCCATACATTGTACCATTTAGAAAAACCCCAGGTATAATATTGATTCTTCACTAAAAGGTGCATTATGAGGCAAAACAAAACATTGAAGCATTACCTTCTTTACTCATTTACTTAATAACAAATATGATTTTTTCCCCCAATAACTGTGGTAAAGACTCAAACCTGGATAATGAAGGCTCCCCAAATGCCCCCTTGTTGGGTTGGCTCCCTCTAATTCTGCACCTCAGTCTTCTCAATCTGTGGTTCTCAGTCTGCCCAGCTCATTGGGGCTCATCCTGGGGAAGATTCAAATCTACTGTTGTACTCCCAACTAGAGATTGAATTTAACTGGTTTAGCATGCAAATTGGGCATCAACTCCTTGGAAGATTCTCTATGATGACAAAATTGCCAAAGTCACTCTTTTGAAGAGAATACCCTGCAAACAAGTGTATCCATCCTCTCTCACGACTTGCTACGGTAAACCTCACTTCCAAGACCCACACTTCTCCAACTTCTAATCACTGCATGAAAAGGGCTGAGGTTAGGGATGGGCTCCTCATGGAGGCTGCCTCCTCGTAAAAGCACTCAGCACTGAGGCCACGCTGCTTTCCTCTCCGAAACCTAACGAAACAGAAGGGAGTACAGATACCACCAGAAACTGACATAGGGCATTGTGTTGCAGCTGGATGCCCACTTAGCTTGCTTCTAGAAGCACAGGTAAATGCAAGCAGAGTGGTAGAACAGACTGTGCAGGTAGTCACTACCTCCTTAAATGTGCAATATTGAATCACGTGCTCCACTGAGATATACTTGAAATTCTAGGACAACAGGAAAATATCCAAAATCCATCCTGTACACGGCAGTACAATTGTGACCTGGCAATGTCCAAAAAAACGCCTATCACAGAACCTCTTTTAATTACTCTTTCAAAATAGTAACAATCATCTATGTCAAAAATCAATAGTAGATTAAAAAAATAATCAAAAAAATTAAAAATAAAGGGCCCTGTGCTGACCTAGTGGCCAAAGTCCTCGCCTTGAATGCACCATGATTCTATGTGGGTGCCAGTTCTAATCCTGGCAGACCCCACTTCCCATCCAGCTCCCTGCTTGTGGCCTGGGAAAGCAGTCGAGTTTGGCCCAAAGCCTCGGGACCCTGCATCCACGTGGGAGACCCAGAAGAGGCTCCTGCCCCCTGGCTTTGGATTGGCTCAGCTCCAGCCATTGTGGCCCCTTGGGGAGTGAACCATGAGATCTAAGATCTTCCTCTCTGTCTCTCCTCCTCTCTGTATATCTGACTTTCTAATCAAAAATAAATAAATCTTTCTAAAAAAAATAAAATTACTTTGTAAAAAAAACCAAACAAACAGGGCCCAGTGCGATGGCACAGTGGTTAAGGGCCTCGCCTTGCACGCCCCGGGATCCCATATGGGCGCAGGTTCTAATCCCAGCCGCCCTCTTTCCCATCCAGCTCCCTGCCTGTGGTCCGGGAAAGCAGTTGAGGACAGCCCAAAGCCTTGGGACCCTGCACCCATGTGGGAAACCCGGAAGAGGCTCCTGGCTTCAGATTGGCTCAGCTCCAGCCGTTGCGGCCACCTGGGGAGTGAATCATCAAATGGAAGATCTTCCTCTCTGTCTCTCCTCCTCTCTGTATATCCGCCTTTCCAACAAAAATTAAAAATAAACCTTTAAAAAAAAAGAAAACAAACAAAAACTATGAACAAATAAATAAACAAGCAAACAAAATCAATGCTAGTGTTTAAGATTCTTAAATGAATGGAGACTGAGAATAATAAAGCAGGACTGAGCAGTATGTAGAAATACATTTTTATTTTATTTTTTTAAGACTTATTTTTATTACAAAGTCAGATATACATAGAGGAGGAGAGACAAGCTCCCCCCCATGCATCACAGTGGACATGTGGTGGAGACAAATTTAGCATATGTGGATAGCAAGCCAGAAGGACTTTACAGGTAGATAACGCAGTGCTATGGTGAGTGATCAAGTTAGGGATAATAAGATGAAGTGGCTCACTTTAAAGGGTCACCTCTTAGGCTCAGCACAGCAGCCTAGCGGCTGAAGTTCTTGTCTTGCACACGCTGGGATCCCATATGGGCTCCAGTTCTAATCCAGCTCCCTGCTTGTGACCTGGAAAAGCAGTCAAGGACAGCCCAGGGCCTTGGGACCCTGCACCCACGTGGAAGACCTGGAGGAGGCTCCTCCTCCTGATTTTGGATCAGCTCAGCACCAACCATTGCAATCACTTGGGGAGTGAATCAGCAGACATAGGATCTTCCTCTCTCTCCTTCTCTCTGTATATCAGACTTTCCAATAAAAATAAATAAATGTTAAAAAAATTAATAACTGAAATTAAAAAAACAATTTTTCTTAAATGTCACCCTCCCAGGAGGGGCACTCTAGCACAGTGGAATAAGCTATTGCTTATGATGCTAGCATCCCATGTTGGAGCACCAGCGCGAGTCCTGGTTTTTCTGTGTCTGGGCTAGCACTCCGCTAATGTACCTGCAACTCAGCAGATGATGGCCCAAATATTTGAGACTTCTACCCACATGGAACAGGCTTCAGCCTGGCCTGGCTCTGGCTATCGCAGCCATCTAGGGAGTGAAGATCCCCCATTTCGGGATGGAAGGTCTCTCTCTCTCCTTCTCCATCTATCATTCTACCTTTCAAATAAATAAATATTTAAGATTTAAAAATCACCTATAAAACCTCTTCTAATTCTATAATGCTTTACAAGTTAGAACATTGTAAGACATATCTAAAAGTTCTCTTATCAATATACAAGAGCTACAGATAACTTTAAAAAGTCAGGTCTGCAAAGCATCCAAACAAAAAAAAAAAAGCTATTACTTTTCTGAGGTACATACATACAATATCAGAGAGAATTTGTGTTACTAGAGTGCCAAAAACCAAATAAGACGCAATTTAAAAAAAAAAAAAAAAAAGGGCAGGAAAAGAGGAATCCATTCGAGCTCTGGCACTAAGATGTGGCTGTTAAGTCGGTGTCTACAAGGCCAACTTCCCTAGGAGCTCAGCTTCTCCCTTGCAGATGCGGCTCCTTCCTAAAGCACCTGGGGAAGCCGTGGAGGATGACCTGAGCACTAGAATCCCGCCAGCCACATGGGAGAGCCAGGCTCCGGGCTTTCACCTGGCCCAGCTCTAGCCCCTGTGCCCATGTGGGGAGTGAACCAAGGGATGGAAGATTCTTTCCCTCTCTCTGTAGTTTGCCTTTCAAATAAATAAATCTAAAGAAAGAAAAGAGAGAGAGAAAGAGAAAAAGAAAGAAAGAAACAAAAAAGGAAACAAAGAAAAGATGAACATAAAACACAGAAGCACGGAAAAGACAGTAAATCAGAAGCTGCCAGTGTTCGTGGGATCACTACCCTAGTGATACCAGAACCTCCTTCTCAATCCCTTCTTCCTTAGATCACCCATTCCATTTGAAAACCTAAGAGCATTCTGAAGGCTCTGTCACCACTTTCACTTCTTCTCTGACTTCAAGCTCTAGGCCTTAGTTATCTGATAGAAAGCTAATACTCCTCAAATCCTTATCTCCAGATCTCTCACCCCCAAACCTTTTGTATGCAATCACTTTTTTTCCCCTCTTTCACATCTACTTAGCCCCAGCAACTCCATCCTGGCCCTCTGGACTTGCTCCTTCTTATGAACTGCCCCATATCACAGGCTGTTGGATGCAACAGCCTGCGTTCTCTTCGAGATTGTATTGCTCAGGTAAGCTCCTCCACCTCCCTGCTTCCTCTGGGGCTCCTTTCACAACATGAAGGGTTTCCACCTCCCTCAAAAACTGACTGTGAGGATTGCAACAAATAACAGAGTTAAACAGAGTCTGGTGCACAGTAACAGTTCCAATATGTATCAAAACCACTATCACTTATAAAAATGATCCTTTTTATAAAGATGCATTTATTCTTATTAAGGCAGAGGTAGACAGACTGTGGCTGAGGGAGATCTTTCACCCTATGGCTTACCCCCCTAAATGGTTTACCCCCCTCAATAGCCAGGTCTGTCCTGGCCAAAGGCAGAATCCAGGAACTGCATGCAGTCTCTCACATGGCTTAAGGAGCCCAGCAATTGGCCCATCTTTCACTGCTTTCCCAGGCGCATTAGTAAGAGCTCCATAGGAGATGCTAGCAAATGGGGGGAACAATTGAACATGCTATAGCACAGCACTGGCCCTGATGACTATTTTATTTTTTAACTATTATTATTTTTATTTTTCATTATTTTTACATAGTTGATTAGGGTGATTAAGGTCAAGGGCTACAGGAAAGTGGGTGACATACTTCAACAGTTCCAAATTACTGCCGATCTTGCCACTACAAGCATGATGAAATCTCTCTAGAATGCTGTAGTCTGGCCTGACCTAGCCTGCCTCAAGTCCCAACTCTCACTGGCAGATGCTGCAACCTGGAACTGCTCAGTCTGCTCCCATCCTGCCTCATGC